TGGATTTCACTGTATTCAAAGTGTCAGTGGGAGATCAGGACACAGTGTAGAATTTGTGGCATGCTCCCGTAGGTAAGTCTGAATACAAACCCCCTAAGATAAATCCACACCATCTTTAGCAATTAACTTGCTGTTTTGAGAAATAAGTGTTTTGCTCATTACTGGGCCTAGCACAGACTGAATGTCTATTCATGGGGCAAGCTAAAAACATGCACCTTGAACTACTCATCATGAACTGAGTGAATATTTTTCACTAAGTCATAAAAATAGAAGTGTCTGAAAATGCCCCAGCTTCAAGTGGAAGTGAGACATAGGAGATGAAGCTCATGCAGACCCTTCAAGGCAGAAGCAACGTGCACAAGCAGAAGGCTCGCACTCCTGATGTATTAACTCTTCCTCTGGTGCCTCTCCTACCTCAAACCACACCTGTAACTTCATGTTTGGTGGGGGTCAGGGAGGCGGGTTCCCAATGACTAATGGACTAGGGAAGAGAAAATAAAGCCTTCTTTACAGATGGCTCTGTGCAATATACTGACATGAGCCAGCGGTGGACTAGCATGGTGTTACAACACCAATGAGGCATGGCCATGAACAGTAGTTGGGAAGGGAAATCATCCCACCAGCAGAACTTTGATATTAACAGTTGTCACTCTGTCTGGAAGGAGAGATGTCTAGAGGGTTAGACCTATACCATTCAGTGCTTAGAAGATAATGGTTTGTCTATATAATCAGAGACTTGGAATGAAAAAAAAGTTGGGGCAGAGGAACAAGGATGGACCTCTCACAGTGTGACTGAAGCTGAGGACACTTGTAATACCTTATGACTGAGTGCTCGCCGTAAGTCTCCTTCAGCAAACACACACATCCACCACGCACATCAGAAACTTGGTAGACTTTTCCTTTTCAGGGCACAGAAGACTAAAGTGAAGGGAAAGGGGCTAATGGGGAAAACGCTAAACCCTCTACATAGCTCGTGTTACCTGACCAATGTAAGATTACTAAGGCAACAGAAGGCAAATGGCCTCCTACACCTTGTTCTTTAGGAGGCATATGGTGTTAGGAACATTAAACAAATAATTAAGGTATGTTGTCCAGCATTATGCACAATATAATGAAGGTGTGTTGTGTAGTGTTATGCGTAGCACATGGTAAATGGCTCAAAAAATATACTGTTCTAGTTCCCACGATTATTTTTCATCGTTGTCATTACTCCAGCTTCCACGAGGCTTTTGAACTATACTGATGCTCTCCTGCTAACTTCCTCAGCGTCTCTTTGGACTTCTTCCCCAGTCCCTTATTAAAAGTTCAATTCCAGAGTTCTCAGCAAATAGGGCTCACTAGCACGCTCTGAATGGGGTCTCCTGGGATCTTTTCTCTCCTTCCTCATCTGATTATGCTGAGGTCTCCCCAGAACAGAATATTTAAAATATGCTTCCATCTGGTGTAAAATCAGAAGCAGCACATATCCAGGCTCAGATGAGTCAGAATGGAGGAAACAAGACTTTGAAGGGAGGGTGGTTTCTATTATCACTACCATAAACACATTTAACTTAAATAAATCACACCTCAAAGGATTACCTGCTGGCTGGGGGGCATTTTACATTTAATGTGGAGATAACAAGTGGCAAATGACAGCTAAGCTGATATACAGCAGGAGGAGTAGGAGCTTTTCTACCAAATTGTCATAAGTTTGTGAACTTTTGAGATGAATTAGGTCAGTAAGTAGCGGTGGGAAAGCAGACAAGTTCAGTTTTATGCCACCTTTCCTCCACATCTGACTTCTAAACTGCGATTCATTCCATAGAGGTGCACGGGTAAAACCCTACAGAACTTGCCCTGAAAGTCAAGTGTAAGTATATTCTCAGCTTCCAGTTAAATCAGTGTTACCTGTTTGTGATTATAGAGCATGAAATATATTACTGTGATTTTTCTTAATTAAAAAGTAACTCACTCTTGTTTTACAGTATTCATGGAACACAGACAAATATAAAGTAAAAAGAGACAGCTCCCCTTATGTCCTCCACTTCCTCATCTAACTCCATAAAAGCAATACTGAAAATTTCTCCAGATCTATGTGATCACGCACATAAAAATATAGTTTTAGAGCATGTATGATATATACTTTTTAACCCAAATGGGATAATACACTACTGTTCAGCAGCTTGCTTTATTCACTTAGCAATATATCAAATATATCTTTCCAAGTGAGTTCACATAAATATTTCCCATTTATTTTTATTGGTGTATTGCATTTTATAGTTTGGATGTGCCAAAGTTATTTAGTCGCTTCCATATTGATGGAAATTTTAACTGTTTCCAAATTTTTACATTTATAAACAAGGCTATAATGAACGTCCTTGTAAAATGATTGAAACAGAATTATCATAGAATTTATATAGAATATGGATGTGAAATTTTGAATGATAACATATATCTGTTCACCAAAGACCAACAATTAATGACCAGGAAGTGCAAGAACCTGGACATTCAGGTACTGGATGACATTTCCAGGTTCCACACATCCTGTGATTGGGACATTCTTAGGGACAATGGCAAAGATGGCTCTCTGGTGTTCCAGATAGGCACATGGGCCAGGGATATACGGAGCGGGGCTAAGGATTTCTTTATTTCAGGAAAGTTAAAAAATCAGAACAATATGAAAATGCCTAATTGATTCTAAAATTCAAAGCTTCTTTCTTGGAATAAATGCCAACATTTCTGAAAAAGAATATTATGACCACATAATCTGGTAGCCCACTTCCTGGTTCTGTGTTCGGGCTGTACCTGTATCTTATGGAAAGTGACTCAGCCCATCCAGGGAGCTTAGGGAGCACAGATGGAGGAGTCCAGGTACAAATGAACACCTCCCTCTAAGTGTCAGGGGTAAGAATTTAAAGTAGTTCCTGAAAGCCCCTCCTGAAATCATGTGCTCTCTGAGGTTTCTCTTTCCATCAGTCACAGGTCAGTATTACGAAAACAAAGCATGAAGGAGTTCTGTGCCCAAATAAACTTTACATGCATTAAGTCATTTTAAAATTATTGTATCCCCCTTCACCCTCAGTAACACATAACAGAAATACAGATTTTTATTTTTTGGGGATAGAGGAGCACCAACTATGAACATGGAAAATCTCAAAATACAGCCTTGCTAACAGAGGCCTGGCTCTCAGCTCCTAAAATCTCACCAGAGACGACATGACTCATTGATCATTCATCAGTGGAAGAGAGAAGGGAAGTGGTAACATCAATTTAAAGACTGAAGAGACTTTACCCTAGACTAACTCTTGAAAGTTCCTATTCACTGTTAGACCAAAAAAAGCTAGGAAAATGCACAGTTTATATGGACAAAGGGTAAACAGAGAACAAAATGGGGGGAGGGGGTAAAAGAAAGAGAAGGGCACCACCTTTTTTCATTTATTTAATAACCATGTATTTTGATTATACTGTGTGTTTTTGCCAATGTTACTGAGGAGTAAAAGAACATCAAAAGAGAAAGAATGTATTTATGAAGAGCCTGGCATAAAACCAACACTACAGTCATTCAGCAGGTGTTGGTTCTCTTGCCTTT